CAAGATGTACTCTATTTTACCTGCTCAATACCATAAAGTTCAATAAAAGTTTCCAAAAGCAACAGAAAATACCTCGGTTTTTGAAAAGATTTTCTACGAAACTTCCGAAGAACAAGAATGCTTTTTATAATTCTCAAGTAAAAAATCCTATTGAGCAGGTAAGGCAGACCTCATATTGCCACAAGATTCAGCGTAATCGATTATCTATGCTTCCATTCGTTTTTGAGATTACCTCATCTAAAGAAATGTTGATTCTGGGGCTTCGAGGAAATCCGATGCCACGCCTAAACCATAAAAAATTAAGAGTCCGCTTACTTCCTATATTAAACAGAACACGTTGGACTACCTACGTATGAAAGAAAATCGATGGATCGCTGTTTTAGTTTTGAGAGATACGAAGTGGTTTTCCAGAGATCCTTTGAAAACCCGACTAAAAAATGTACTTCTTTACCAATGTTACCGGTTAATTTAATATTATCCTTATCCAATCGGTTCCAGTGCAATAGCCAACCCTATTACAAAAGAAGAATCCATGAGCAATGGATGTTGCACCTTCATTCGATATATTATTATTTTCAATATTCAGCGAAGTCAGTGTTTTATTGATCTTCAATGCATCAGCAATGGATGTTGCGCCTTCATTTGATATATTATTATTCGACATATACAGCCATTCCAGTGTTGTATTGATCTTCAGTGCATCAGCAATGGATGTTGCACCATCATTCGATATATTATTATTCGACATATACAGCCATTCCAGTGTTGTATTGATCTTCAGTGCATCAGCAATGGATGTTGCACCTTCATTCGATATATTATTATTCTCAATATTCAGCCCTTCCAGTGTTGTATTGATCTTCAATGCATGAGCGATGGATGTTGCACCTTCATTCGATATATTATTATTCTCAATACTCAGCGAAGTCAGTGTTTTATTGATCTTCAGTGCATGAGCAATGGATGTTGCACCTTCATTCGATATATTATTATTCGAAATATTTAGCCGAGTCAGTGTTTTATTGATCTTCAATACATGAGCAATGGATGTTGCACCTTCATTCGATATATTATTATTCGAAATATAGAGCTCTCGCAGTGTTTTACGGATCTTCAATGTATTGGCGATTGTGTGGGCGTCTTTTGCTGATAAACCTTTATTGGAGAAATCAGAGCTTTTGTCAGTATCCAGATCATTTAGAACAGCTAAAGAAATACAATGTTTATTGTTTTCCATCTCAGATTGAACACTGATAATCTTAAACGCTGTTCCAGCAGGAAGGAGGACTTCCTCTTCATGCGGATAACTTGAATATGATGAGATATCAAAGCCACTTCTGTTAGTCTTTGTCAGATCAATAGTGAATAAGGTATTTCCAAATGCTTCTGCTTTATGACGAGTTTTACTTGTTGAAGAAAATCCATACCAACACTTGTATGTACCAATGGCTTCTTTATAACATTCTATCATTTCTCGATCAAGATTGGC